GCTGAAAATTCTGCTTTGATTCACAGAAATAAATTACATTTTAAAACATATTCAAATGGAAAACAGTTATTTTAAATTGTAATAATATCTAACAATATTACAGTATTTTACTGTAATTTATTATAGTAAATAAAAACTTACAAATAAGTAAATACTTAAAAATATTAACTTTTGAATGGCAGTTTAAAATGTATCAAACATTTAAAGTTATAAACTAGTCACACAAGAAATAAAATCTGTCTAACGCTCAAAGCCACCATAGCTATTTTATTTGCAGATCAAGGAGGCTGTTTAATATTTGTCTTCACTATTCACCTATTCATACATGCTTCCTGCATTTTGTTTTTATTCTGTAAATGTAGACGAAAGATTCACAAGGGCTCTTATGCTCGACTCTTAGCCATTAGACTAAGTTTGCAAAAAAACTTTTGCTTTTAGTTAATGAAAAATATTGATAGGAGAGCCATAGGTCAAGGATTCACACCAAATACATCTTCAACACGAGACACTTTACCTAAAAGAAAATGCATTACTTCTTTATAAGAGTGTGGAACAATATGAAGTGCGAGAGATCAGGGAGCTCTTTAAAGTCAGCCTGTTTAATACAAATCTTCTGTCTATATAGGCAGCACGAGCCTCTTAAGTACTGGAACTGTTTTGAAATGCTCAACAGATGCAGCACTGCTTGCACAAAGCAACTGATTTCAGTTGTACTTATTGTATTGCAATACTTCAATAAGCATAAAAAATACTGTATGTTGCACACACAAATAGTGGTTAATTTACACTGAGGAATGTTTAGTCGTTACTTTTCAGCACTGACAGACATATAGGTTGCCTTATCCACCATCTTGGATTTATTCACAGAACCTGCTGCAATGCATTCTGGGATTGCCTTCATTCTGAAGACTAAAATCTGGCTAAAGCAAGTCAGCCTACCTTTTAAACCAGCCGTTTCGTCGGAAGAGCACCTATGATGCCTGAAAATGCTGTCTAGGTAGGCAGCTCCCTAGGTTTCGGAGCTTATCTCTCCAGCAGAAGCTTCCATTACCCAGTCAATGAATGTGTAAACAGTGTGATCTCTGATAGCACGGTCCAGCGTCAGGCCCCTGTCTTCTTTCTCTCATCTCTATTTGTCTGGTTTCTCTCTTATCGCCTCTCCCCTGCTCTACACTCCTCATCAATCCCACGTTTCACTTGTGAGTGTCGGTCAGCCTCCAACTGTGGTCAACAAAACCTGAGACCATATGGACCCACACGACCCCAAACACGTCCAACAAGCACATTAAAGGGGCCACTTTCTGCACTTACCATATTACTCACCACATAATCATTTTTAAACAGACAGTGTTTACCTTTTAGTGTGTACCTTTAAGACTTTCATATCTAAATGAGCTCATCAGGGCAAACCAAGGCACAGTAAAGGTATGTAAATGTAGATAGTCATATGTTAATGAGCAAATTATGTCATAATATATATATATATACTTTAATATAGTGGATTAAGTGACTAAACGAGTGTTGCTATTGTTAACTAAACTAAAAAACTATTAATCATTTTTGTAAATTTAAATAATGCTGAAATCAAAAATCTACATATTACATGGAAAACCTCGAGGAAAATGAGAACGGTTGCTTTGGCAACTAATGAAAATAAAATATATTTTCAGTTATAAATTACTATAACTGAAATAAAAATAACTAGATAAATATATATAAAAAAACAAACAAAAAAATGACAAAAGCACATAAAATTAAAATTAAAATAGTCATAAGCATAAAATATGACAAAATCAGTGTTGTTATTTTTATTTTATAAAATAAAAAAAATTTAATAAATCTAATTAAATAAAAAAATATTAAATGAGACATTTTAACTTAAAAAAGCTTCCATGAAAATGAGAAATATTGCCAAAATATTTGAAATAAAAATAGTTGAAAAAAGACAACCACTAAAACTGAAACAAAAATAATGCTAAAGACAAATTAAAAAAACTAATAAAAAACGATAAAAACACACATAAAATTAAAACTGTCAAAGGTATAAAATTTATAGTTATATAGTCGACTAAATCAGTATTTTTACTGTTAAATAAAACTATTAAATTATCAAATATATATTAGAGGTACAATTTTTACTTAAACTTCTATGAAAATTAGAAATGTTAGCAACAAATTGAAATGGTTGAAGAAAAAAATGACTAAAACTGAATAAAAGTGACAAAAGCACAACATTAAAATGAATATGAAACTGAAAATAAAGTAAAACCATTTTCAAAATATTAATAAATACTATAATTGTATATATTGTAAATAACACTAAAATAGCAATGGACCAAATACTGAATAAATATTTACATATAAATTAGGGCTGTCAGTTTAACGTGTTAACTTAATTAGTTACAAAAAAAATAACACGATTCAAATATTTGAACTCAGTTAACACACCGCCCCCGCCCCCAGACCTGTACATCATCTTACATTTCAGTTGACTGCTGACAAATGTGATGCAGGGCAACAACTCCATAAATGCAATTATGCCCTAAAATTCAAGATATTGGTGCAAAAATGCCCTGTATGTGTTTTTGTCTCATATTTATGTCATACGATATCACACGAGCAGGGAGAGCGGTAGGCTATTACACGAGTGCCGATTTTGTCCCGAATATCACAAGTTTAAATGTGATTTTATACAATAGTTCAGTAAATAAGAAGTTGATAGTGTTATATTTTAAACACAATATTACGTGTTTTTGCTCAATTTTGCAAAGAATATATTACCTTTAAAGCCATAGCAGAATTGTTGTGCGTCTTCGAGCAACACAGCGGTGTTTAGTTTCTGAATGAATCCGCGTTTTGAACGAATCGAGTGAACCAATGAGTCAAAGCCTCATTCATAAAGAGAGCCGTTTACGCAATTCCTGAATGAATCAGCCGTTTGAACGAATCGAATAAATTACATTTACCGCCACCTGCTGGCAGATTTAGTTTCTTATTTAGAGTATCATTTAATTAATTTAATTAAATAATAATTAAATAATACATTTTATTAAATAAATTAACTTTAATTAATATTATTTTAATTAAGTAAAATAATAATAATAAATAATAATAATAATAAAAACATTAAAGGGATAGTTCACCCAAAAATGTCAATTCTGTCATCATTTACTCTCACGTCCTTCATGTCATTTCAAACCTTTCTTTTGTGGAACATAAAAGAAGGTATTTTCAAAGACTATGCAATATCCTTAAAGGGACTTTGGACTATTTTGAAGACTGTTGGTAACAAAGCTGTTTTGGTTACCAATGACTTCCATTGTATGAACAAACAATACTGAGATGATTCTCAAATTATCTTCTTTTATGTTCCATAGTTTATGTTAGGCCGTTGTAGCCTAAATGTTTGTGTAATACATTTTTTGTTGAATCAAATAAAATATTTCTAAAGCTACAATTTGTAATCAATTAAGACTGCACTGGGCCTCGGGGCTATGACTTACTGCAGGGCAAAAATGATATATATATATATATATATAAAAAGCTTTAAATATGATTTTTATCCCACATCAAAGTCAATAGCCTAAGTAAAAATAAGCTTACTGAAGACAAGTAAACAGTCACAAATTAAGCTACAACAGAACAAAGATCATAAGAAATCGGCCTACTTGAAAAACTTGAAAGCACTGAATAATATTATAATGTATAAATAAAATTTACAAATAGACTGAATGGTCTTCACTGTATATATTCAATATACATGATTCTTATTTATTTTACAAAAGTGATTCAGTCAAAGACAGCCTACATCTTGGCGTGCAAAACAACTGATACATTTCTACTGGATATTATCTCCCAATCCTTAAATGAATATATAGAGTTTGTTCAAACACAAAAACAATATACATCCAGTTAATTATCAAACTAACCTAAAATCTGTGTAGATGATGACGCTGTTTTTTTCCATGTGCCCGGTTCACTTGCTGTTCCAACAACAGTTGATTGAAGTTACTTCCACTCCATCATCAGCTTTAGTAAAATAACCTGATCGCTGGGGAGTTTACTGACTAACTTGTTTTTTTTTCTGTTGTTTGTATTTGAAGTTTTTCATTTTTTGAGCTCCTCTCTCTCAGAATTGCTGACATTTTGACATATAGAATATTGTTCTTTGCGCGAACATTTCCAGATTACTTCATAACGAAGTGAAGAGTGAAGGTGAAGGGCAGCGATCACCTGATAGATACGTGCACATGTCGTTCAAATGTCAAATATAGAATAAATGCATTTGCTTGGTAAACCAAATTAAGACTTTAAGCTTCAATCTCAAATGGTAATGCATGGAATTTACGGAAAAGCTCAACTAAATAACAGCGCTAATAAGTGGGGGGCGTGGTGACTTTGGCGATCGGCGTACCAGTCAATTTACCCCACAGCCAATCACGGGCCCCCTCCTTGCTCGGGTCCCGGGGCTTCAGCCCCGCCTAGCCCAATGGTTAATACGGCCCTGTTTGTAATGTCTACTTGATACTTTAACAAAAAAATATATTTAAATAATCTTTTGTGGCTATTTTCACAGTCAAATTTATTTTGCGATTAATTAGATTAATTAATCGAAACATTATGTAATTAATTCGATAAAAATGTTTAATTGACTGACAGCCCTAGTATAAATATGGGTGGTTATACAGTATGTAAAAGAGCTTATGGTTGTAACATCATGATTTGAGTCGTTTTGCTACTTAGTTTTATGTTTTGAGAACAGAGTATGTCTACATAGTACATCATACACTTCAAAAGAGCAAGACATCTTATTTTATGTGATATGAGACACCTTAAACAGGTTTTTAATTGGCATTGAAATGAATAATATCATGTTAGCTCATCTCTTATAGTTGTGTATATTATAAATGTCCCTTTGAGTCATGTGAAATCGAGCGGTGAATGTACGGCTTTGTGTGTGTGTGTGTGTGTGTGATGGCACAGGCAGGTGTGCAGCTCACCTGGGGCCTCGATCAGCTGTTTATATATTCCCAGGAACGCAGACTCCGCCTCCTTACTGCGCTGGCTCAATGCAACCACCTGCAGCAGAGAGATGAGCTCATCAATCCAGGACACACTTAAGGGCCATGCAACACATAATAAAACACTCCAGTCAATAATTCTGCTCCATATGTTGATACCGCAGAGCTACAAATGAACAGAGCAAAGTTTATTCCAGTACTTAAACGGAGAAAAACATTAGCGTGATCGCTCTTGAGGAAAACTCAGTCTAATAAAGTCACCAGTGCAACAAAGCATCCGATACTCCGACAAATATACCAGAGACTCCACATAATGGCTTCACACTCATCACAACACAAGGGTAGGTTTGAATTACATTCTAGTATTCACCTCATACTACTTCTGCAGTGTGTACCAAGGGTGTAGAATTTAGTAGGGACACTACTTTGGACTGACTGTCCAAATCAGCTAAATCGCATATCGTAAATCATTTGATTCAGATCTGAACTTCAAATCACGTATTATTTGATTTAGATCGGGACTTCACGTATCGCAAAACATTTGATTCCGATCTTGACCTCTGAATGTGAATCGCAAATCATTTTATTTAGATCAAAACTTCGAGAGTGTACGTGAATCTTTTGATTCAGATCGGAAGCTCGGAGCGGGTTCGCAAATCATTTTTATAGTTATAAAAATTTATTAATAAATATTAATAGTGGCTCCCTGACACCCGCAAATTAGATGCAATATCCCAGAAATCGTACTGTTGGGGCAATGGCAATAAGCCGGGTGTGCCTCACACGTCCTGAAAAGTAAAGCTACGAGCTCTTTGATCGCCCCCTGGTGGCTGGCTGCAGTACAGGTCATAAACCCCGCCCTCTCCATGTAAACGAATGGGACTTGAGTCAAAATAAAAAAAAATTATTTCACTTCCAATACAATTTTCTGAAAGATGGTTTTAGTAATTTAAGGTAGTTGTTGTCTCGCTGATATATGTTCAATTGTTCGTTTTTGTGATAAGCATGATTTTAGCTAGTAATTTGATGCTATCAAAACGGGGCGTGTCTTTATGTTTGATTGGGTCTGCGGGAGTTTGGGCGGGAGTTTGATACCACTTCTCCACCTCACAACACTACTGCGCAGACTCTGGCTCCTAACAAATCTCTACTGCGCAGACTCTGGCTCCAAATTACGTAGCTTATATCTTCTAAATGCGAATTTTGTCACTGTTGTGGAGCACACTGCCTTATAGATAACCTTAAGACTAACATATTGATAATAACACCTAATACATACTTTAATTTTGATTTCATGGGAACTTTAAAGTACTGGACGTTTCTCAATATGTGTTCTTGTCTGTACATGTGCTCTTGTGGACTTGTGAAACGTCATCAGTTGTCGCCCAAGTACTGCTCCAATTCAAGGTTCACATCTAGCCAAGTACAGTTCAAATCCCCGGATGTGTTCTTGCTCCGCCCCTTTTATCAAGGATGCATCCAGAGCCGATTTCGGAGACGTGAGCTCCAGGCGATCACCGGGAGCTCAGTGCTCATGTATCCGCCGAGAGCAGTCTCACCTCGGCTAGTCCTTCTGACATTTGCCGCTGGCTCTGATGTCTCTGTAGTGGTTAAACATGAGGTACAATTCGTTTTGGGTAAATCTAACAGGCAATCTTTGGTCTCATGAATCTATTATTTCTTCCAGGTCATATCGTTTTGGCTGAGCACAAAGTTATGTTTCATAAATTATTTATTTATTAATCGTAATACAGTGTTGACTCGGTTGCATACATTTGACTAAATTGTTTGCTTTTGTCTTTATTTCTTATTACGTAAGTCTTTACATACTTTTATAATGGCTATTATTGTTCATTAAAACTGACATTTAACAAAAAAGGCAGAGTTGTGCTTGTCATATTTTATTTTACTATACATTCAGTGAAGATAATCAGAGTGTGCACATATTACCTAAACCACATACTAATATGTTTTATATTTTAAAAATGAAAACGAAAAGGGTTGTTTTATATTTTGAAGAAAACGAAAAGGCAGTGGTGTTTGATATAATTTCATTTTAATGTAATGAGTACGCGTTGCATGAACCACATTTTTGTGGCTATTATATTTAAATTATATTTGCAGAATTACTGGACTTGCGTCCTCCCGTCCTCCCGTCCTCTGGAGTTCACACTCCCGAGTCAAACTTGCGAAGTCCAAACTACCGAGGACACAAGTCTGAACTTTGCGTACTTGGTATTGAGAAATGGCCCTTGTTTTGCGTATCAGAAAATCTGTCATGTCCTGCCCGCTTAGGTTAAAATACTGAGTGTTAAATAATAAAATAATATGTTAAAACGTCTACTCTTATCATTCTGAGGACAAAATCCCGTGAACTTCGCCTCGATCGGGAGCTGCATGCACATGTGCACTCATCTGTTTTCAGTGCAGCTAACCTCGTGTCGCTTCATGTCATCTTCCCACTCATTAAACTATGACAGGTCTTTTACTGCAAAAAGACAGTCACTGTGACACTCTAAAGTGATGAAACTATGGCACCATGTGCTTTTTAAAACCATTTTCATAGGTTTCACGTTATATTGTTGGCTCGGAAAATATGTAAATGCACATGCCCAGTAAGTTAGCCGCAGCTGTTAGTAGATTAACTTCGGTGGACTTACACTTGAAAAATGATGTGTTCCGCGGTTGAAGTAAAATACTTTCTGATGTTTATTCATGTGCTTTAAGTAAATGTGAAAAGACGATCGGTTCACGTGTTTGAACTGAGGCAATACAGTGATCTGTCACGACACATTAAAGAGCCACAAAACAGTATTTATTGTTTGAATTTCTTTAAAAATTACAAAATTTGAAAGCTGAGAGTCCTGAGATATTGATATTCTGATACTTCATATCAGAAGTAACCTGCTCTGTACTGTCTGTCGGTGTGTTGTCAGTTTCCTCTTTGCTCTGCGATGTATTTTTCACTGCGTGAGATCATGATTTGTAGTGTGAGAGCGGCATTGTTTGTCGGGTCTTTGCAAACGGTCAATTAAATGTCTGTTGTTTGCCGTTATGTCCCTGTTATTTCCCTACCAATGCCAAAATCAAACCTACACCCTTGGTATGTACAGAGCGTGTGACTTACTACATCTGCCAAAATGTGCAGTACACTACAAAGCACACTTTAAAGAATACTGTTTGTTTCCTACAATTTAATGCACTTGACTTGAACTTCCACTTCCAGTGTGATGAATAAACTGAAAGTAAAATAAACTGTGTATATATATATATATATATATATA